TTCATTAATGGTATCATCATCATCAGTCTTTGATGATTTGTTCTTCGGTAATTTATAATGCCTTTCATTTGAAAACAATAATAAATACTTTTAAAATCATATATATATAAAAATTTGAGGGTATAGATTTGAGAATATATGAGTTTTAAAGATTAATATATTTAATTTATTTTTAAAAAATTTATAGGAAAGTCTATGAAGAATGAAGAAGATAATGATAATGTATATCTATAAAAATATTTTAATAATTATATATGCATTAATAATTAATTCTAATTGTTAAATATTAATTTTTAAAAATTTTTATATAAAATAAATAATATTAGGTTTGTTCTACCCCTGAATGTGTCGCTACTTCTGAAAGAATTTTGAAGTATATGAATGAAGAGGTTGATCCATGTGATGATTTTTATGAATTTGCATGTGGTAATTATTTGGTAAAGTGTATCATAAAAAATTAATAAATAATGATATTTTTAATATTAAAATTATTGAATAAATTATTAAAATTTCTTTTATAAAAATTTTTGTAGAAAACAACTATAATTCCAGATGATCTTCCGTCAATTTCATCGTTTGTTTCTATTTATTATGATAATGTTGTTAGTATTATTTTAATAATTATAATAAAAAATTTTTTATAATAAATATAATTATAATAAATTATAAATATTAAATATTAATAATGTATTTTTTTTTTTTTTTTTTTTATATATTAAACTTATTTATTTTATTTTTATCTCTTTATAAATATTAATTAATAATATATAAAAAAATTAAATATTTTTTTTTTTTTTTTTTTTTTTTAGAATATTACACGTAGTATTCTTGAAAGAGAATATAAAGGAATTAATAATTCAACATCGGAGCAACAAAATTTAGATGAAAAAACTTTCAACCAATTAAAAAGTTTATATAATAGTTGTATGGATGAACAAAATATCAAATCTAAAGGCAAAAAGCCATTAGTTGATTTATTAAATCAATTAGAAATTTATAAAAATAAAGATACCTATAAAGATGTAAATGGATTGACCACTTTAGTTTCTAAACTAGGACTTTATAAAGCTCCAATTCTTTTTGATATTGATACTTTGACTGATTTATGGAATTCTACTGATAAAGAAATTCTCCTTAAACAAACTAAATTGGGTTTACCAAGTAAAGAATATTATGAAAAAGAAGAAGCGGTAACTAAATATAAAGAAATTATAAAAGGAATGCTTAGTAATATTCTCAATGATGAAAATCAAGATTCTGGAAACTTTTTCACTAAATTATTTGGTGGAAGTGATACAAGAGATTTTGATAAATTAGCTAATTCTATTGTTGAATTAGAAAAGAAATTAGTAAATGTTGCTATTCCACCGTAAGTAAATTTTTATTTATAAATATATGTTTATAATATTTAATATTTAATATTTAATATTTTTTATATATATTAATTTGATTATTAATTAAAAATTAATAATTCAATATTTTAAAGTGAACAGATGTATGATATTTCTTTAGTTCAAAATTTTAATATCCAATCATTGAGTGAAAAATTTCCATATATTAACTGGTCTTTATATTTCGAAACAATATTTGGATTAGTTAATATGAAAAATACTGTAAATGAAAATTCTCAAATTCTTGTTTATGGACCATCCTATTTTGAAAGCTTAAATAATATTCTAAAAGAAACCGATGTTGAAACATTAGCTACTTATGCAGAATGGTAAAATTCTAAAAATAATTTATATTTAAATTTAAATTAATTTAGATAAATTTTATTAATTTAAATATAATTAAAAAATAAAAAAAAAAAAAAATAATAAAATAATATTTTTATTTAATTTTAGGATAGTAATTAATGCATATGGTAATTATATTAGTGATGAATTTAAAGAACCATTAAAAATTATGGATAAACTTCTTAATGGTAAAATTTGAAAAGAATTATATTATTATTATTTTTTTTAATGAATTGATTTAAATTATAAATAATAACTTTATAAAATATTAAATTAATTTATAGGTGTTGAATCTGAACCAGCTAGATATGAATATTGTGTTAATATAGTGGATAATTCTATGGGTATGGCATTAGGTAGATTTTTTATTGATGAAGTATTTAATGATAATAGTAGAAAAATGGCTGAAGATCTTTTGGTAAATATTAGAGAGGTTTTAAAAGAAAGAATACCAAAAATGTCATGGATCGATAAACAAACAAGTAAATTAGCTATTGAAAAAGTCGATGCCATAAATCAAAAAATTGGATATCCTGATTTTATTATGGATCCAATAAAGCTTGATGAAAAGTATAAAGGATTAGAAATTGTAAATAATGATTTCTTTACTAATATGATTAATTCATCTAAACATGAAGTAAGTAAGCTTTTAATGGAAATAAATAAACCAACAGATAAATCTACATGGGAAATGACTCCATTTACTGTAAATGCCTATTATCAACCAATGAATGGTGAGATTTGTTTCCCAGCAGGTATTTTAAAAGATCCATTTTTTAGTTCTACTAATCCAAGTTACATAAATTATGGTGCAATTGGATCTATAATGGGTCATGAAATAACTCATGCTTTCGATAATGAAGGTAAAAATTTTGATAAAAATGGAAAATTATCAAATTGGTGGACAAATTCTACTACAGAAGAATTTAATAAATTAACTCAATGTTATATTGAACAATATGGAAACTATACAATTGATGGTGCTAATGGAATTAAACTTAATATTAATGGAAAATTAACACTTGGAGAAAATCTTGCAGATAATGGAGGATTAGCTCGTAGCTATGATGCCTATAAACTTTCTTTAAGTAAAAAGAAAAGTGAAAATAATAATAATCAACTTCTTCCAAATCTTACAAAGTATTCCAAAGATCAATTATTCTTTATTTCATTTGGACAATCTTGGTGTGGTAAATTTAGACCAGAATTTCTTAATAATCAAGTTCATACAGATCCACATTCTCCTAGTAAAGTTCGTGTAAACGGTTCACTTAGTAATTCCAAAGAATTTGCAAAAGCTTTTAAATGTAAATCAAATTCACCAATGAACCCAGAAAAGAAGTGTTCCATATATTAAGGTTAACAGAATTGAATATTTTTTTTTTTTTTTTGTTTATTAAAAGACTATATATAAATATATAAATATATATATATATATAATCCTCATATACATATAATCTTCATATATATAAAATAAATATATATGTATAATCTTATAACCTATATATATATAAATATATTTTTATAGTATTCATATATATAATTATATATGTATAATATTTATATATATAAAGTATGATATAATTATTTTATAAAAGGAAAAAATTAAGAAAAAAAAATTAAAAATGAAAAAAAAAAAAATTATTATATATAATAAATATATATATATATTTAAATATATTTTATAATAATATATATAATATAATGTAATTAGTATTATTAATCAATTTATATGAGAATATCTTATAAAAGATTTATTACTATATGAGAAAAAAAAAATCTTAACTATCCTATTAAACTTTATAAAGTTGTTGATAATAAAAAGAATGTAATTAAAATGAAATTATAATATAATAAAAAAAAATTTTATAAATTTTGTTAAAAGTACATTTTATTATAGTAATATTATTATTAATTACTTTTTATTTATTTTTATTTTTATTTTTATTTTTAAATTTTATTTTTATTTAATAATTATCCCATATTTTATTATTAACTGAATACTATCATTTTTATATAATTTTGAATTATGATGAAAAAAAAAAAAAAAAATTCAAGTTGATTTCTTTACTTTTTATATTGAAATATTTCAACAGTATATATTCATTCCTTAAAATAATAAATATATATATTTAATTTCCTTCTTGGTCATAATTTCGTTTCTTAAAATTACGATTTACATTATGAAGTTAAAAATAATTATTATACTGCAGTATTATGATGCTTATGTGAAGTCTTAATTAAATAAAACTAGATTACATTATACCATTATATATTTTATTTTGTGTGTGTGTGTGTGTTTTTTTTTTTCTTTTTTGTTTATTATTTTATTTTTTCTTATTTTATTTTATTTTTATTACATGTATTATATTAACTATTTAATTAATAAAGATGAAACAATTATTTGCTGCTGTTAAAAAAAAAAAAAAATTTTTTTTTTTATTTAAATCAGAAATTTTTATTAAATTTTTTTTATAATATTTTTTTATTTGAAACATTTTATATATATTCTTTTTTTTTATCTTAACTTCAATGATATGGACTATTTTTCCAGGTCCACAAAGGGTTGATGGAAAAAGAATTGCCTATATCAAGTGTATTAATGACAGTTTTCTTTTGTAATTCCCATGTTAATCCTTTCTAAAGTGAATGCTCTTCCTTTTTTCCATGTCGAGGTAAATCTTTAGATTTTATCGATGACCTTTTTTAATTTTTATTTGCCAATAAAGTAAGAAATCTTTCCATATTTCCTTCTTATTCTAATAGTTTAAAATATGGAAATTTCATAAACAGGTTATATATTTATATATATTCCGTCTTTTCTTTGTGGAATTTCAGTTTTAGATATGCTATAGTTCGATACTGGGGCGAACGGAAGCATTCAAGTGAAACAACCCTTAAAAAGTTCACAGGGGTCTATTGTTCCGTATATTGTGGGGGCTTTCGGAATAGCTTGCTAAATACAATACCGATTATCAGTAGCTCTCTTGAGTTATCCTTTTTTTTTTTTTTTTTTGAGAGGTTTAGCAAGAAACACTTTCATTACCAAGAGTGCCAACGCCATATCTATCAATACGGCAAAGAAATAGTGCAGTTTGTAGTCCTATTAATTTATATATATATATATATGAGTCCTTTTAATTTATATATGTATATATGAGTCCTATTAATTTATATATGTATATATGAGTCCTATTAATTTATATATATATATATATATAATTAAAAAATAAAAAATAAAAAATAAAAATAAAAAAAAGTAATAGGGGCATTCCGTATTTGAATCGAAGACCTATTTATCTGCAGTTAATTGCTCTACCGCTGAGTTAATTCCCCTTCTGAAAAATTTTAACCAATAGTTATTCATTATATTAATAATAAAAATTAATTTCTAAATAATATTACTAATATATAATAATACAAAAAATAAAATTATATATGATTAATATATGTTTATTATAATCGATAATGTTATACTTTTAAGAATTAAATATAATAATTGTATTATATAATTTAAAATTAATATTATTTTACATATAAATGAAACATTTAGTAAGTTATAATTACTAAACTACATTATTAAGTTCTGCAAAGTTGATAAAATTATGTTTTCAATATATTAATATTACATTAATAATTAATTAGGATAAATTTATATATATTTTAGAAAATACTAAATATAAATTTATTAGATACAATTTAAAAATTACAATTATTATTAAAAAGAATTAAAGATAAGAAATGGCTTTCCCATTTCTAATTAATTTTAACAGTATAAAAAAAGATAGTTTAGGAAATAAAATAATTATGAATTAATAAATATTGTTCATGTAAAAAAAAAAAAAAAATTTAATAAATAAATTTTAATAAAGATTTTTAATAAAACAAAAATTTTCTTTTATTTATTTTTACTCTTATTATTTTTAGTTTTATTTATAATTATTGAATAATTTTATAACAACCTTGGACCATCCCATTTTTGGTAAAGAATGAATCAATAACCTTTATTTTGTTATAAAATTATTATTAATTATTCTTTAGTTATTTGTACTTTCCTATATTCTTGATGACCTAAACCTAATTATAAAAATAATTTATTTTGATATAAATTAAATTTAATCTTGTAAATAATTTTAAATCAATCTTAATTAATTAATTTATTGTTTATATTATATTATTGTAAAGATTTCGAACTTAAAATCATTCTTAATAAAGTGGTCGAAAAGAACTTCGAGCTTTATAATTTCTACTAAGTTATCGAGCTTATACCTACTAAAGAAAGCAAATAAAATTATTATTTTCAAAAGTTACTAAAATATATTGTTTTAAAATTGATTCGATATTGAATTACTTATTAAATTATATTTTTTTTTTAAGTTGGACCTCCAAGTTTATACGTATTTATTCTCTTCACTAATTTATAACAAGAAATTATTAGTTAAAAACAAAAATGTCCAAGGAATCAACTTTAAGCTTCAAGGAATTAAAAATAGAATTAAGAGATATTGTGAAACTTAGCAAGGACAATTTAGATTTTAAGTCCTGGGCTACTGAATTAAAACTTTGGATCAAGATACAAGGTATTACAGATCAACTTTCAAACCGTCTTTTGATAATATGTAACCATGGAAAGTGGTTTTAGTGGCATCGAATTCGCATTTCTCTAATTTAATGTACAAGTTATTTTTTAATAATTTTTTAAGTACCTTTTTAACGTGTTCATGATGTTCCTCTAAACTATTCGAATAAATTAATATAACATCTATGTAAGAAATAATAAAATCTTCTAAGTAATCTCTAAAAACATCATTTATAAAATGCTGGTAGGTGGCTGGAGCATTTTTTTAAGCCAAAAAGGTATGACTAAATATTCAAAATGACCATATCGAGTACGAAATGCAGTCTTGTACTCATCGCCTTCTTTAATTCTTACCAAATTATAAGTAGACTTTAAGTCCAACTTTGTAAAATATTTTGCACCTTCAACTCCATCTAATAATTCACTTATTAAGAGAAGAGGATAAGAATTACGGATGGTCATTTAATTCAACTTTCTATAATCAACACATAATCTCAATGAACCATCTTTTTTTTTAACAAATAGTACAAGTGCACCAGCAGGGGACATAGATTTCCTAGTGAAACCTTTTTCTAAATTTTCTTTTATATTCTTTTTTACTTCATCTCGTTCTGCTTCAGTTAGAGGATATATAGGACCATAAAATAAATTTGAATTATCCTTTAGCTTGATTTCACAATCATATTCACGATGAGGTGGTCATATATATTACAATTTCTTTCATTAAGCACTTCAATGAAGTCTTTATAAATAGGAGGTACTCCAATAGTTTTTTGATTTAAGTCGTTTTCAATATTATTAATATATAAACACTTACAAATATTACACAAATTTTTTAAAACACTTTTTTGTTTTAATATAGTTTGTTACATCATCATTTTTATTTACTTTATTATTACATTTATTAACTATATTATTACATGAATTACTTAAATTGCAAATAGTATATAATTTATCTAAATTAATATTATTACTATCACTAAACAATCTCGTCATCTCTATCATACATAGAGGAGTTATTACTATTACTATCATAATTAATAATAAAAATGTTAGTTTCACCTTTGTTTTCGATCGAATGATTCACAACAAGTTTATACACAAGTATAGCGACCTCTAATTGAAATTTCTTCAGTACAATCAGAGTCAGATTCATCATCAAAGGAATACTTACGTTTGTTGTTATAATTTTCATTCATATCGTTTTTGGGTTCATTAATTGGTTCTTTTGATTTAATAGAAACTTTGTTTAGTTTTTTCTTATTCTTTCTATTCCTTTTTCCAACATTATAGTGTTTAGCGCAGAATCCAGAGCTGAAAGCAATTTTTTTTTTTTGATTCATGGTAGTTTATTAGACAATGCTTTTCGATCCAAGGGAGTCCTAAAATGATATCGACATCAGGAATACGAAGGGCATATAACTGGATGATCTCAAAATGGTTCTTGAAACGGAGTATACATTTTTCAGTTATCTTTTTGACTGTAGATAAACAGATAAACCATATCCTAGACCAGCAAGTTTGAAAGGATTTTCGGCCTTCATAAGTTTTATATTATTAACTCTTGCAAATTCTGGGTGAATACAATTAATATCAGAACCAGAATCAATAAGAACTTTCACTATTTCTTCTTCAGAATCATTAGTCTTGATATAGAAATCAAGGATATTAGTTTTTCCTTTAAAGCTGTTATTCTCAAATTCAATAATTTACAAAATTCTATTAATGCTATCATTATCATCAATTAATTTAATTCTTCTGACAGAGGAAGTTGAGGTAAAGGAAAAAGTTGTATCTGCTTCTGTATCCGATGTTCTATTGATGAGTTTTATATTTTATGGTCTTTTCTTGATAGGGCAATTAAACTGCATATGCCCAGCCTTACCACAAACAAAGCATAAGACCTTTCTTTTTTGTTCTTCCCTACAAAGGATTATTTTGTTCATTATAATTTTTGTTGTGAGAGGGGAAGTATCTAGTAGCAGTTTGACCCTTTTTAATTCGGTGAAGATCGACATCCATGGGGTGATCTTATTTTTAATTCCTTCTGTCTTGATGAGTGAGGTAATATTCTCTACCATCTTTTCTTTTTGTCAAATTTTCAATCATTACGGCTTCTCTAAATAGGTTTTCCATATTGCTTGAGTTCGGATTAACAATTGCAAGTTTTTCTCTCATTCTGTAATGGAACCCTTTTATAAACATGTATATCTTGACCGATTCATTAAAGTCAGAATATTGACTAATTTTTTGGAACTCGGAGATATACTCTACTACATGTCCATATTTAAACTGGCGTATATTACATAATTTTCCGTTAGCAACAACAGATTCTACATCAGGGTCTCCGAAATTTCTACGTAGTTTGGCAATTAAATTTCCATAATTCCCCAAAACAGGATTATTATTTCTTCTAAGGCATGAAGCCCAATTTAAAGCTTTTCCCGTAAATTGGAAATTACAAAAATTACTCTTCTCCTATCATCGGGGAATCTATGAGGATTCAAGATCCTTGATAGATCCAGATAATAAAGGTGGATCGTTTATAATTTTCAGTTGTGTTGCGGGGGGTTCTGTTGTTGGTGTGGTTGTTGAATTTGGTGTTGTAAAGATTTAATAAAATCTTTAATTATTAATTATATAATAATTAATTAATGTAATAAAATTACATAAATTTATGATTTACGTATATGAAAATTAATTATAAATTTTTGTAAACTTTTCATAAAGGATAAATTATTATTTAAATAATTTTGGGTAATAAATTTAATCTAAGTAATTTATTTAATTTAGTTAATTTAGTTTATTTAATTTAGTTATTTTATTTAAGTTGGTTAATTTAGTTTAGTTAGTTTAAAATACTTTAAAATTAATTTCGGAATAGTTTTAAATAGTTAAAATTAGTTTAAATAGTTTATAAAAATAGTTTTGAATTGTAAATATATAAACATTAGTATTAATAATATTTAAATAATAAATAAATAATAAATGAGTTCTTATTGAATTCAATTATTATTGTAAATAAGTTGAAAGTTTATTGAATTAATTATTGTTTAGTTTTAGTTAATTATTATTTAATAAAATTATTAATAAATATTTTGTTTATAAATAAATAGTAATATATGTATATTAAATAGGTTTGATATATTAAAATATAATCATGAAAAAATATAAATACATGTAAAATTCATTATTTCAATCGATGTATTAGTTATTGACTATCAAATAGTTAATAACAATAAGAGATTTATTTTTAAAATTAATAAAAGATTAATTACTAAAAAAGGAATTTTTTATTACGTGTTTTAAACTATTTTGTGTATTTTGTTATTTGTAATCAGTTTCTTCTAAACTTTTTACAGGTAATGACCCTCCATGTTATCATCAAGGTTAAGGTTTTGAAATATGTGATTTAGTTCTTCCAGATTGTTAATGCTAATAATTAATTTATATATGCACTTATGTGATTTACTTCAAATTATTATGTTTTTATCTATTAGAATTTATTTACTATATTTATCCAAAGTACATATGTGAAATGTTCATATACTGATATATATATATATATTTATTTTTTTTTTTGACCTTTTATTATTAATAATACAAATTATTATTATTTCTATATTTAATATCGTAATTACTCAGACTCTATCCACTTGTAAAGGTGTCAAACTAGTAAAATGAAAAATATAGAATAATTTAATTATTATTAATATTCCAACCTGGATGGTAGAAATTAAAATAATAAGAGCCCAAA